ATACGCACTGAAACGTCCACTCTTGTAGCTCACACAAAAGTAACATTGTGGAAACCGAATTGAAAAAAATTCTTCATGTCTCATTATTTTTATGTAGATTTTTTGTGTGTCATAGTCTAGTGGTCTCTTCTGAGCACGTTGAATTTCTATCTCAGTTTTAATGTGTAATAATAACAAATTGGGGAATGGACTAAATCTTAAAAAAAGAGAACTTAATTACAGTCACTTTTATGTTTGTCTAATTGTATAAAGGCTCTACAGGAACTATGTCTATTCATTTTTACATATGAACGGTATTCATAAAGAAAAAATACGTTTACGTGAGAAGGTTTTTTTTTTTATATACGAACGATATTTTTGGTTTGTGAAATTCACCAAATAGCTATCGATCTGGCTTTTACCTATGAGGAGCAACACTAACAGCGCAATCATAAAATTACACACAGTCAAAACCACGGTGTGATTAAATAGAAAAATACAAAGCTGAGTATTTTTTATAGACGCATAAGTATCCTCGTTACGAACCAGTGAGTTTATCCTACTATGCTTGTGCTGTATTTATTTATCTAAGTGTGTGCCCGGGCAGTTTCCCTTCCTCCCAACAAAGCTTATAGCGTTAAACGTATTCAAGTACAGCCTCCATATTCTTTTCGGTTTTGATTTGTCTATGCAATGGCCTCTAGTGACACTCTCACATATGTATATATATATATATATATATATATATATATATATATATATATATATATTCAGAGAATTATAAGAACGGTCATCCAGGAACATCGTTGTGGTTAAAAAAATGTTTAAATATGTTTTAATCGGTGTTACATTGTGGTTACAAGATGCGTTAGTATCTTAGTGATTGTTCTGCCCCAACGTAAGTGGACCTACGACGCATCCTCCGTAAAGAGGCAAACTCGAAATGTTACGGTCCAGCGTTTTAAGTCACAAGATCAAGACAGGAATAGATTTTCGATTGATTGAGAGACTGGAAGGCCAAATCTGCCTGATATTTTGCACAAATATAGTTGAACTGTTGTCCAATAACGCATAATAATATGCATAGCTACCGGGTGCTGTTGCGGCGCTGTTTCGTAACGTTAGTGAGAGTGGTAAGGTTTTTGTCTTTTTTTTTGCTGAGAAAAACGTGTTTGTATCCACTTGATCTCTATCATTCGAGTTTTATATTCGATATCACCGCTAGGCATTCCATCAGACTGCTGGCCCTCAGCACGAAACGAAGTCTGTCTATGCCCGGGTTCGAACCTAGCTTCCGTGTATTTTCCTGTTAACGTTATATATATCGTGTGGTCTAGGTTCAAACCTGATCATCGAAACACGATCCGTTTCGTGGGGGGCAGCTAGCCAACTGTCTGATGGAATACTTAACGGCGATACCGGATGTAAGACTCAAGAAATAAAGCATCATGTTGATCTATCCCAATCTGGTGACAGACAAATATGTTGTACCTCAGATTGAAGTCAAACCCGGTTACTGTTCTGAAAATCATGTAGGAATGTAGCCTTAGAAACAGTCACGTTAGCACAAAAGTGTATTTTAACAATAGCGTAGCACTTTGGCTTATCTAGCCGATAAGCCCAGTTCTTCAAACTGTTCCTTTTAAAACAAGGTTCCTTCAAATATAAAAATAGATTTATAATTGAATCTACGGCAAGAATAGAATTATGGGGCATAACCGTATTTCAAACACGGAAAGTCGAATACTATGCAGGCTCATAGCACATAACAAAATTGTTACACAAGCGAGTGACAAATCCCGCAGTTTCTGAGTGCGTTTCTCTACGTGGCACCAATGCATGCTATTTGCAATACTTTGAAGAAATACATTAAAATAAATGCTTTGTAAATGAGGTACGTAGTTGTCAACAACAAAGCTTAACATGTGTATGCAATGCCGATATTTGATAAAAATTATGTAAGACCGTGTTGACTACCTAAATAGATACCTAGAGACCATTTCCGTCCATAGTTGTAGAAACTGCACTGTAGAAATTGTCGTAAATTAAATATTGATGAATATAAGAAGTGCACCGGTGTCACAATTCAAAATATCATCAAGTACATCTTTTTATATTCATGATGGTGCGGTGGCGACGCTAAAACTACGGGAAAATGTATCTTATTTACGAGGTGAAATGTCCCTATGCCTAAGTGTGGGTCGACAGCTGTAATACTACTATACTATATTTTTACTATTAAAGTATTATATTTTGTATATGGGGTAATGCGGTTAAGTGCCACAGGGTTTTCCTTTCTTACCACTGAAAGCTGTTCGTGCTATACAAAACAGTTGTTGGGTTAAATGACCCAACAACTATAACACGTGACCTGTTGTGTTGGTAACAAAAACTGGTAAAAAGCTACAGATTTGCTAATAGAACGGGTGAGGCACGAAATGCGACGTGTGGTCAGTGTTAAATTTCTTGACCCTCATAATATCCCAATTAAAACTTGTTCATCTAACCATAAAATTAACAACGCGAGTTGCTCCAGATTATGTCAGATTAAACTATTGTAACGCGTACTTTCTGCTATTCAGATACGATGGGCGGACGCAAAAGACGAATGAAATTCGCTTTCCTGATAGTATACTCGATGTCGGCCTGTTAGGTGTTTTGTAGCAATTGAGTTTTAAAGCAACTAGCAGATTTCGGAGACAACTTTTGTCTTACCCCAGTATCGCATAGATCGTAAACGAGCACTTCGTATTATTTCGCAAATATTCTATTCAAATGACCCATGTGATACATTAGTTTACTCAGCAAAAGTAGATCGTATTGCAAAAAATATTTAATTTGAAGGACACTGTTACTTATACGTTTGTGTGTCACGTATCGTAGATTTGTCCAATGAAGACCAATAGACACCGGGAATCTTCTTTTAATTTTTCTAGTATGTATATAAAACCTTTGTTGTTTTTCCCAGATCGTCATTTTAATACTCTGAATGTTATATTTGTGCCCGTTTAGCTTTGAGTTTAACGCGTTCCGTACGACAAATATTTAACAATGCGTCTTCTAATCTAACAACCGATAACATCAACAACAACAACAACGATGAATGTCGTATACAGCTTTTCGGTTACTTTTGTCACATTCAAAATATAGTCGCGGGTCGAGCTGTAGAGCAAACGGTATAAAATCTCAATGTGCTATTGTTACATTCAACATGTAGAGTTCTATTTGATTCAGGAAGTGTTTGCCGCGGTAGGATTGCTTATAGCTTACAAACCACTACATGTAACTTGAACGTTCTCGGCATCTTAGTATCGATCGATACAGATGTATTCTTTTTCCATTTATAATAAGATTCAGTCTCGGGGTTCAACCTTCCCCCATTATTTTCTCGTTTGGTAGTGGTAGTCGTGAAGTAGTACCGCACATTTTCATTCATTTTACCTTTTTTTTTTTCTAAGGTAAACAATTTTCGGTAGCATACAAACATATTGTTGAACTGGGCTTTTTACACCAACCCAATAAATGGTCGACTTGAAGGCTTCAGGCAGACTGGATAGCTCCTTTACTTTACTATATGTTTGGCGAAAACATGGATTGGAGCTTATTTTCCACGCAGAGATGTCGATGTGCTAAAAAAAAAAAAACGTTTTCAAAAATTTGCCCTTTGATATATTTTTAGAAATCAGTCAATAAAGGCAGTGTGGGTCGTTTTGTAGTCTATTTAGCGTGCCCGTTATGCCAGCTCTGCAACTTCTTTCGAAACCCAACACAGTTAGCCAACACCGTTAGACTTTATTGTATTTAGTGCGGTGACTTGTTAGATATTGCGCCAGCTGTATCGAAGCCTTAAAGTCTATTGTTGCAGTGTTATGTTTCATCTACCATATTTTAAAGGGATTCGACGCATTCACAATATAATAGCCTGGACCTAAATACTTTTATCTGTCATTTGGGCGGCCATATGACCTAACTTGTGTTTATCATCGATCGTTCCCAATCTGGTATTATTTATGACTTATGTCAGCTAATCTTTTAGAGTAAAAAATACTAAAAACATAAATTGTTCATACGTTGAGCGTGTTCAAATATCGGATTTTTCAGTGCCGAAGTTAAGAAAATCAATAGCCCAAAGCTCCTTTAGTGAGAGGTGACCTGTAATCTCACCTTCAAAAATTTCTATAGATATTTTGAGCCAACTGCTTATTTAGCAAACTGTTTTTCTTGCCGCTAGTCTTCTTGAATGGTCCACCGGTTCCGACTAACCCGGAAGTTGTCTTTGGTATAACGGTTCTCATGATTTTATGCCGAACCTTCTCCATCCTCTATGAGGAATACTTTATCTTGTCGATTGTGAAAAACATTTTGAAATTATATTAATGTTATTACCAGCTAGTCAGAACATGATTCAGTTAAAACAAAGAACTCAATGACAGCACTGGGCAGATAAACTTACCAAAAGCATATAAGGTTAAGCATCAGTGTTGATTTATATTTGAAAATATATTTTATCTATAGCACTATTTCTCAAGCCATTATGTATTAAAAGTTCTTCCACGAAAATATGAAAGGAGGATTGTGATCTATGACTGTAAATTTTTTATAGCCATGTCAGTTTTTCAGCTGATTTATATTCGGCGACCCAACTAGTCCCTAAGTTCACTTAAACTGAACTTCAGTTCAATTTTGGTGAATTTTGAAGTCGTAATATAATACTATTAAGTTACTTTTGAGTCTATCTAGAGGCAGCGTGACGCCATTTAAGGATCAAGAATGTATTGCGTTTTATAGATTTAATTTTAGTGATGGCATACTGACCAGACTTTTATAACCCTTATCAATGCATCTCATATTATAGTTGTGATATTATGTTGCACCCGTATTTCTTTCAAAAGGCGATCATCAATAATTTTGTAAGAGTCATTATGTCACCCGTTTGTATTTCACGTGTATTACGTCATGTATTATTCATGTATATTACGTCACCCGTAATGTTTTGTATTTCTTGTTGAATACGTTCATAGGCATGATGTTGGAGGTTGGACTTCGTGTTGTTCGCGGGCCAGACTGGAAATGGGGCCAACAGGACGACGGGGAAGGACATCTTGGTACCGTTGTCGAAATTGGAAAGGTAGGATTTTTTTTGTGCACTTTACTCATGGTCACAATGACTATAGCAATTCATTTCAGTGTTCTCTAAATTCGAATGACGTTCTGCTCAATTATGCGCTACATTTGCTTCACGTTATTGCAGGCTGGAAATCCCCACTCGCCTGAAAAAACTGTAGTGGTTCAGTGGGATTCGGGCGGTCGCACCAACTATCGCGCCGGCTATGAGAAATCCTTCGACTTAAGGGTTTTTGACAACGCACCCGTTGGTCAGTGTCAGAAGTAAAATTTAATTTATAAATACGTTTTTTTTTGGAAAGAAATGTATCTGTATGAATGGTAAGTGGTATTTATTGTAACTGGGCCACGCTATGTGTGTGTAGAAGTGTGGACTTACTATGTCAACGTTATTAACTACTTTTAAATGTCTTCCAATTAGCTGAGAGCAAATCAATTTTTGAATGCAACCTTAAATCGAACCCATTGCTTGCGCTCTGTTGCTGATGCTTTTTTTTTTCTAGTGTTGCCTTTACTGTGCTATCAGAATCCAGAATCGTATGGGGTGCGAGCATAATCCGGAATCATTTACGATGCGCCGCTCGGCGTTTAGGTTATACGCTCATCCGCAACCGTTAACACAGAAGAACGCTCGTTTTAAGCAAAAAACATGCGAAATGGAAGCAGGCGGCGGTCATGGCCTAAGCAAAGGAATTGCTGTCAAGATAGAAATAAACAGAAGTTGCTTATTAATATGGTACTCATATAATGCACCGTATGCGGTACATCGGCTACTTCAGGAATATAATCGAAGTCAAGCAGATGTTTTCTGAAGAGTTTAAAACCAAGAGGTTTTTTCACAGTCGTACCTTCTTTAGCACTTCTGAGCTTGAATCATCCGGCCGTCTTCTATTTATCTGCGATCATATAATCGCTGATGTCAATGGCTGAGGCTATCGCTGGTTCGTTCCTTGCCTCAGCTTATGAACCGTAGTGGCACCGTGAATAGGTTTCGTTCTTTACGCTAGAGACACTTACATTTTAACCTATTAAAACTGTTATGACTTGCTTGCTTGGGTAGGCCATCTTCTCTTTAATACCGTCGATGAAACGCATAACTTCCATATCAAGTGTATCTTCAAATATAGATACCGTCTAATTTTCTTAGCCTCAACCCTTTAATTGTTCCATGCGACAGCAGAAATTAGGTGCGAAATGGCTCTCACGTGACATCACCTACATACATAGCTTACTCTATAAACATCCTGTTCTTCTGATTGCTTTCTTTCGTAAATGTAAATTGAGACGTTTAGATACATTGGATAACGAACAAGATCTGAGTGTTTTAAAATTATGATTCTTCTTCTTTTGGTAATTTTTTTTTATTCAGCATATACATTGAATATGGCTAACTACGTATCATTTTTAGTTTCAACCCTATAATATGAATACGAACACCACAGGCCCATATTTTGCCTACCGACTTCGTGCATAATTATTACTGGGCCTCACAGCCATGCTTGGTGCCAGTCCTTTACGAATCTTTTCCGTCGTTATCTAGTTTAATCAACTAAGACGTTCATTCGTGACATCGTTCGTATTAAATATGTGCTTAATTACGTATACCATGAAGTACGATACCAATATTGTTCAATTCGACAATGGCATATTCCAGTTTTCTGCTTATTTATCGCGCTCACATATATCTTGTCAACTCGTAAAGACCTTATGTATCAAAATATAGACCATTATTTTCTTATAACATATGTTTCTTATATATCAGTAAGCGCTCTATCTGTTGTGCTATTATCTGGAGCTTTCAGGTGTGAAACATCCCAACATCGTGTGTAACGCCTGTGGCTGCCAGGGCATTGCGGGAATGCGATGGAAATGCTCGCATCGCAGCTGTTACGACTTCGACCTTTGCTCGCACTGTTACCATGACGATCAACACGATTTAACACACCCTTTCACGAGATTCGAGACCCCCAATTCCGATGGAGTAGCTGTGGGGCCACGAGCTCCCTTACCAGGTCCAACTGGCTCACCTACGCACCACCCTCTACGAATACCTGCGTCCGGTATTTTCAAAGGCGCCAAAGTTGTACGCGGTCATGATTGGGACTGGGGTAACCAGGACGGTGGAGAAGGCAAACTTGGTGATGTGGCCAACGTTCTAGGTAAATGTCAAACAGGAAATATCTTGAGTGTTAGAATTGCGTATATTGTCAATGCTTCTTTGACAATTCACTTCAAAAGGTTCAGATTAAACACGAATTGTTTTGTCTTGGCAGGGTGGGAACAAGAATCAGGACGAAGTGTGGCGAACGTGACTTGGGCTTGCGGATCGATGAACGTGTACAGAGTGGGCCATAAAGGGAAGGTAGATCTTCAGTACGTGACCGCAGCACCCGGTGGCTTCTACTACCGGGAACATTTACCAGTTTTAGGTGTTATGCCGGCGGGGGCTGCCGGCGGTGGCCCCATTGTTCCAATCTCTCGTAGCAATCAACCACCGCGGTTCTCGGTAGGAGAGCATGTGAAGGTTCAGGTCGACCTCGAAACGCTAAAAGCGTTACAGAATGGCCACGGCGGGTGGAACCCACGGATGGCAGACTGCGTCGGGAAGGTAATCTTAGTTTAACAGACTTCTTGCCTTTGACAAGGCTAAGCAATTCATTCAGATTATCAGTGCTACCTAGTGTTAAACGTATGCGGCCAAATTACCCTCCCTTTGTATCATGAATCAATTTGTTAAGATTGCAAAATATAACACAGTAGTAATAAAAGAATGGAGTATTTTTAAACGTATATTCACTTCTTAGCGCTTTTCAGCTATGTACACACATCAGAAAATGATACTAAAGATAGTCAACCCCACAGAATGAACAACGGCAGTACAAGTTAGAATTATGAACTTCGCTGCGTGTATGTATTAAATGATAGAGGCCGTGTACACAGTAACGAAGGGTAAGACAGCATGGTTTCATCAAAGGCTCTTAGTGGGCGTCCTGAAACATGTCCAATCATGTGGAAATTAGTTTCATGCAGATGACAATTTTAAACTTCAAGCAGGCGCTCGTTCATTGTGTATGGAACTGGTAGATAATGAATTAATCAACCACCAGATCCTTTGCTCATAAGCTGATAAGCCAATAGATTTGACATGTTTAACCCAACACCAAAAACTTTCGTTGAGATATTTAATCTGATGCGCTGTGTGTTTCTTATACTATGAAATTGTGTCAGGGTACGTGAATTTCATATTATACCACAAAGACTACTTCGATTAAATTAAGAAGGCAAGCTCTTTCGAATGATTGACTGACTACATTAGTACCATATGTATCAGCTTGTACCCATGTAAAATAGTACCCTTCGAAAATGATAAATTTGCTTTATACACGTGAATCTGTTTTTATTCATTGTTTGGCGCCTTAATTGACCATTCTAGGTCGGCAAGGTACACCGGGTAACAGAACGTGGTGACATCAGAGTCCAACTAGAGGGTCATAACACTCGTTGGACATTTCATCCGGATGCGTTGACCAAATGGCTTGTGCTGGCGGTTGGAGATTTTGTTCGCTTAATCGACGATCTGCCTAGATTCCGAGAGCTGCAAATAGGTCACGGCGAATACTGCGATACGATGGCTTCGGCCTTAGGCCGTTTGGGTAAAGTAACCAGGCTCTACGTTGATGGAGACCTTCGCGTACTAGTAGGCGCCTATACCTGGACGCTTAACCGGCAATGCGTCGTAGCCGTACCTGGCTCACAGACCGAAATAAACAATACGATGCGTGCACATACTCGGGAAGGGCCTCAAAACCCGTTGATATCCCCGTTTCTTACGGCTATGACCGCTACGACAGCCCTTACGACGACGTCGTGTACGACGTCGTCCAGGACCACCGCTGCGACGACAGCCACAACCCCAACAGCTACAACTGGTTCGTATAATAACAATTGTTCTTGGAGTTGTTATTAGCGCTTATCAAGGTACCCTTATCGGCAAACATGGACAACTTTAGGGAATCACTCTGAGAGACATTTCCTGTTATCATACATTTAGCATGCTCATGTTAACTGATTTTCCTTTTGATTAAATAATGTACGTAAATGAGCATTCAACAACACACAGTAAATTAGGGCAAAATATATTATCATGTAATTATAGCTAAAAGCAAGCTTTCCTCAACTAAATCACATTCGTTAACATGTTTGTCTGTACACTCAAGGTGGGGCTACGTCGACAATAACGGCGACTATACAAAGCACAGGTGGAAACGCCTCAGTGGCCTCTCAACAGGACCATCAATATCTCGTCCGCAACGCAGCATTAGGATTGGAGGATGCTGTTCGAGATTATCTGACAGCGTATCCAGATCGTGTCAATCATAAAAGTTCGTCAAAAACCGCCCTACAGGTCACTTGCCATCAGGGCCATCTGACCATTGTAGAACTTTTGCTAAGGTTGGTAAATTTTTAGTTACCATTACACTTCCCTATATGCCAGTTAATATGTGTATGCGTTTGAATAAGACGTCTTTAGCGTTTCCATTTGACGTGTATGTATGTCGTATTGTCATGTATTACTGATAATTTGATGTCAGTATTATTACTATTATTATTATTATTATTATTATTATTATAGGGCAAAAGCAAGTTTGGAATCAGCTGACGATGACGGGGATACTGCGCTCCATTATGCGGCATTTGGCAATCAGCCTGCGGTTATAGAACGTCTGCTGGCAGCTGGCGCGAACATCAACGCGCAGAATAATACAAAATGTACGCCCCTTCACGTGGCCGTAAACAAGCAGTTCCTGGAGTGTGTCCGAGTTCTATTAAGCTATACGTCCGCTTTGGGTCAACATCACCATGGCTCGCTTCGGGAACGCGCTCTCAATATCAATATTCAGGACGCGTATGGAGATACGGCGCTACATGACGCTATTGGCAAGGTGAGCAGGCCAAATCGAACATAGCGAACAACTCGTGAAGTGGAGTTATATATATATATATATTTATTAACCCTGAGTATATATATATATACTCAGGGTTAAATTGCTACATGAACGCGTGTTGCATGCATTTATTTTCACTTATTTTCTATCAATGGTGATATGCAATTGCAGGAAAACGAAGATATCACCGATTTATTGATGAACGTCGCCGGCGTCGATTTCAGCCTTCGGAACAGAATGGGGTTCAATGTTCTACATCATGCATCATTAAAGGGCAACGCTTTCGCTGTTGAGAAGCTCTTGGCACGCACACGTCAACTTGTTGACATCAAGAAAGATGACGGCTTTGCAGCTTTACATTTAGCTGCGCTAAATGGACATGTAGCAACTGTCGAACTACTGCTTGACGTGGGCCGATGCGACCCCGACATACGAAATAACCGGTACTTGTAACAGAATTACATGAATGATAATTTGTTTTAGGAGAAGTTAGTAAAAAATCAGATAATGAGAATACGTAGCAGCTAATTGGTAGAGCTTTCTTAATGTTTTCCTTTTTTGCCCTTGCTAGACTACAAACGTCGTTATTGCTGGCTGTTGCACAAGGACACGAGGCAATTGTCGAGCGCTTGGTCGCGTGGGGGGCCTCAGTGAATGCTCAGGATGAAGACGGGGATACCCCTCTACATGTGGCGCTTATAAAAAGGCCGGCGTTGATGGGCGAGGCAGTCGCCGATCCTCAAGATGCACCGGCGATGGCTCATATTCGTGCTTCTATAGCAACATCCGTGTGCTTACCGACTTCTGCGCAGAACGGTACATCAGCTCACTTTCAAAATCCACCGAATAGCACAAGGAGTCAGACGGATATAGTAGGAAGAACCTCAGAATCTCAAACGACCGTGGAGGACAAAGGCCTTGTTATAGCGTGCTACTTAGCGAGGGAGGGTTCTGACCTGTACAAGGAGAACCACGCTCACAGAACCCCGCTTTCGCTGGCTGATAATTCTGAAGTGGAAGAACTGTTACGGTTCTGGTCGACAAACAGAGACACAGCGGTCCCTGGTGTCCACCCCAGTATCCAATTTCAGGCTACAGGTAGGCAGATCTCGGAGTTCGTGGCATCTCGATGACATTCGTGCCCGTGTTGTTAGATGTAGTCACAAATGTTCACTGAATATTAAGATGAATAATACAATAAATTTTCTAACCAGTTATCTGCACTACATGTACGTAGAGATAAGGTGATTTGATTTGTATATTAAACAAAGATTTTTTATGATACGCGGGCGATTGTCGTGCAATCAGTCGGTCTTCACGACAGTGAAGGCGGTTCGCCCCTTGTGGAGTTGTGCGATGGTGCCAAGGACGATCGTGAATGTGTGGCTACGGCCGAAAGAGCTGGAAAGGATGTTAGCGGAAATGGTGAATCTGGGAAGGATTCGACAAGCAAGGTATATGTTACAATACAATCATTCGACCGGATCGTGCCATCCTCTCAACTAGGGTGCATTTCATGTCACTTCAGTTCATGCCTGGTCTCAGATCTTATTGAAGGGCGATATTATATATATATATATATATATATATATATATATATATATATATATATATACACGTATAGTAACAAAGGCTGTATTCCGATATTACTTCAGTACTTCTATAATGCTTTATCGTGAAAATATCACACAAATGCTTTCGGGGTAGAACTTGACATTTTTATTTGGTCGCTCTTTGTAGGAGTGCGAGATCTGTTTGGAGGCGGAGGCTGTCGTCCGACTAGAACCTTGTGGACATTGCGTTACCTGCGAAGAGTGTAGCGTTCGCATGCGAAAGTGTCTCAGCTGTCAGCAGATCATCGTAGCCAAAACGCATCGAGTGTCAGGCATGTTTCTGTCCAGTAGACAGAGGCAAAGCAGTCTGGAAAGGTAATCCCTGTCACGCACAATATTTAAGAACGCTTATCTATAGTCTCGATAAAAACAGAATATAAAGTAACTTGAGATTTACATGATCCTACTAAATCCTCCTTTTGGTTCAAGTTCACTATCAAAAAAGGCTAGTTTCTTTTTAAAAAGTTTCTTATATAACGAGGCCTCCACTTTGCTGGCCGAGCGAGTTACGGGATTTTTTTTATAAAATACCTGCTTGCACATTTATTTAACACAAATATCCTTCATTACTATGATTGCTTCGTATCGTTTTCAGGCTTCGTCAGCTAGAGTCGCGTATCGCCGAAATGGAAGAGAGTGCATCGTGCTCGATCTGTATGGAACGGCGAAGAAATGTCGCTTTCCTTTGCGGTCATGCAGCTTGCGCTAAATGCGCTCAACCTTTACGAACGTGTCACATGTGTCGGAAGCCAATTACCAAACGAATTCAGCTCTATTTATAAACGGAGGTAAATAACGGCAAACGTTAGGCCGCCGAAAATGGAGTGTTACGTCACGATCCTTACATAGAACAACAGTAGCTGTCTCACGACAATGAGCTGCGTGGTATCACTAACGATGGGTGATATCATCAATACGAACACACACACACGTAAACATAAATTAGGGTCACTTTTCAGCCATATCGCGCTGCTGGAGTATTATGTCTTAAATACTAAGTGGCTAGTGCTTCAAGTGACACTCGCCAAGCGAACTTCCTGTTTGAGTCGCCGTTCGTCGCTTGGACTGCCCGAACAAAAAACAAATAACATTGTGAATAAATCTACAAAAAGCAGGAGACAACTCGACTCGTTTAGGACTAATATTCTATATAGAGTACTTTCAAAAGGCAGATCCCTAGAATGATTTTTTTTCTTGGTTTAAAATACGATAAATATATTGTGGAAAATGGAGCGCGGAAGATCAGTTGCGTTTTGATTTTATTACTAATACATAATACACGCTTCCGTCAGAAGATTTTCACAGCCTATGATCATGACTGTTGAGGAAATTGGACCACTGCTAACGTGAAAGACGGTGTGATTTTTTTGCTAGGTATTGACATTTGTCTCGAGGCTTTAGGTCCTTCTAGGAGATAACTATTCCAATATATTGCATTTTCACTTATAACTTTAAGGGGTAAGTGTTCTGCAAACGATGTCACCTTTCGTTGATTAGTCTTAGATCATCTCGGTCTGATGCGCCTTTGGAAACAATAAAGGTTCCAACCGATGAGTGGGACTGTGGTCAATCTGTCGGGCTCGTTTTAAAAGCCACGAACAACGCAGGCAATCTGACATCTGTCAAATACCTCGAAACGCGAGCCTTGGTTTAGGACAGCGGAAATCTAGTTGGTCAGACAATAAACGGTGTTCGCTTGCCATAACCTACATCAAGGTGTATTGGATCATTTGGCCTAACGAAAATTCTCCGTAAAAATAACAACTACACTTGGCAAAGTCCTAGTCGATTTCGATCGAGAGAATTATCATCGTGATTTAAGGAAGAAGATCGAGACTTTCTAACCTAGGGGAATTCTAGTCTTCTGATCTACGGTAGCGATTTAACTGACGTTTGACTTACGCACTCAACGTAAAGATAAGCCAAATAATTTGGATTAAAGAATTGAATTCTTTATTTTATTGCATTGTGTGTGTGCGTTTGTGAGTGTGTGTATGTGTGTGTGTGTGTGTGTGTGTGTATGTGTATGTGTGTGTGTGTGTGCGCGCGCATGTAAAAACAAACGAGTCTATAAACGGTTATTAAGTAATCGTCAATGAGAAATCCTTTTACACCGTTACCAAAGATCGCTGCAAATATCTTCAAAAAGCAGAACAGATGTTTTGCACTGACTGAGGTCAAGTTTTTTAAAAATTTTTTTTATGTACTTCGAAGCCTTCTAAATGATGAATATAGCTTTCCAACATCTCATTCTTCAGGCTGTTATGAAAACGATTGCTAGCATTCGTTGTATGGTGACATGAACCACGGACTGTTTGATTAGAGCCTCATTACTTTTACATTATTTTCGGAATAGTCTACACGGTTAACACAGGCAGTCATTCTCTCTAACTGTGTTGGATGAATCATGAACCCACATGATTTTAATAACTTCCCTGCCTTCTGCTTTTACGATCTTAGTCCCAAATCGCCTTTGTATGCAATTATGCATTTCTCGTATGCTTTGCCAACTGGCTGACGTCAATGAAGCATCGATACGTTCAGCCTGAAAGGATTAGATAAGAGTGCTGCTGTAGCCAAGGGGGCGAGTGAAATTTATCTTCCACTAAACACAGAAAAGCCTATCTGTCCGATTATCTGAAAGGGTGTCTGCGTCTGTACGCGTGTGTGTGTTCATTACTGTAATCATGAAAAGGCATGAATATATGTTTACAAAGTGGATATTCAGAGCTTTTCACACGGCAACTAATTTTCAAGCAAAAAAGAATAAGTACACGAAAGAAAAAAAAACATGAACACATAGAAACGTTAATACTACGTAATGTGCACTCCTACAAGTGTATGCTGTCCTCCTCCCCCATTGTCTAAAGCTGATTTGTTTCAGAGTGAGCGAGAGAGATTAGAGAGAGGGAAGACAAACCACGAAAAAGTAGGAATTTACTCCGAAAATAATGGATTCAAATTGCGACAAAGAACAGAAAGAAAAATCGATAAACCATTGATGATGATGATGATGATGATGATGGCGATGATGATTATGATGATTATGATGCTGATGATGCTGATGATCACGATGTACATAAATTTGTATTTACACGGAGGAAAAGGTAAACTAGTAATAAAAAAGTAAAATATTAAGTCTATTATTACCAAGGTGTTGGTTTTTGCGTAATGCCTACATGTATTTGTAAAGCTGTGTTTGTGTTTCGTTAATTTTTTATATTGGCCATAAACACAACTAACGTTGACCTAATCTCATCGAATAGAAGTTAAAGCTACTAAACATTTTATAGTAGAGTTATATGCAGAAAACGACGGTATTACTGAGACAAAGTAGGGTCTCAGTAAGAACAGGTATTACCGCTAAACTTGAACGTTTGATCATGGCATTTTCGGATGAGATCATGAGATCTAATGAAAGCTATGCCCAAATATAACACCTGGATGTTAAATATTACCAAATAGAATATAAACAGTACGTATTGAAGCAAAGTGGTTTATTTTTGTCGCGGAAACCAACGTTTTGCAGCTACTCGCTATGCACTTATATAGCCACAGACGTTCTCAATCATTAACACATATTGCATCATTATAACTCGGTTAGGCCTGTTCGACGGGATATTATTATACCGTGGCCGGTATCTCCTACCACGTAGTGTGTTATTTCAAATTGCGCAATCCGGACCTCCTTACGGTCGGTTCTTACGCGATTCGGGTTTGATGCCATTGTTTCCAGTACCGGTTTACGTGTTGCACAGTTTCCGGCGTCTGACGTCGTCAGCGGCACCTTGCTCCAGCGGAGTCGAAGCATTTTGCAAAGGCCTTTACTCTTTGGGCCTTTTCCCGTTTTCGAGGGGAGCTTCACGTTCCCCTGGAATACCATCGAAAGGGACTCCCAATAAACCGACTGTTTAAGGAACCTTCCCGCGACTTTGGCCATATCGCCAGCCATACTACCCTTGCCACTAAAATAAAGAGGATGGGGTTTGCTTTGTCACTGACTGGCAGGAATGAGTACTTCCAGCCACTACCGCTGACCTCACATAGTCACAAACGGGTATTTATTTATGAATTGACATTATATAGACTTACGGCCAGCAGTCTGCTGTTACATACGTGGAGCAGAAAGTTATACTTTGTTTCGATAACAGAAGAAACGCATGCGCTGGCGTTCCTCCAAGTATTATATACACAGGTAACTTAAGTGAGAAGAAACGCTTTTTATTTCTTATTGCAGCAATTTTATCTATTTTTTTTGCTCCTAGTTAAAATGTGTTAATTGGTACTACAGTAAAACTTCGATCCTAGACAATACCCGTGCCAGCGAAGGACACATGTGTAATTCCCCGAAGCTATTCAGATTTCATATTAACGTCCTAGAGATTAGTAGAAAAAGAAACGACTAACAAATCGGCGCAGGTTCTTCTCTGGCTTTAGCAGGGGTTTTGGCCTCAGAGCATTCCGTCGACTCATTCCTGTTACTACATTTATTCAGTTATTAAACATTACACTCTCTAAACCATTGACAAACCTGCCATGATGTTATTATAACAGGTCCTGTATCGACGCTGGTGAGCTTTCTATTAGATGAGGTCCACGTGGACAAAGACGGGAGAGAGGAGAGAGGAGAGAAGAGAGAAGAGAGAGAGAGAGAGAGCGAGAGAGAGAAATCATCTTCAAACATTCTAATTCCTTCACGCCTTACATTTCGCGTCACATACGGGCTGTGTACAACCCAGAACTGTTAAAATTTCATATAATAACGATATGAATTTTGTTCGTTCAAGACCCAAACATTCAAATTCGTCCCAGAATAATTCAACAACAAATGTGAGCATTAAGAGGATGGTCGATACTGTTCGCTGCGAAGCAGCGTTAAACATACGTGTTAGCTTCCTTGAGTCACTCTTGTCTCAAATTTGTATAGAATCGTCGTTAAGGAGACCAATTAATCGTACGTCGTACTGACGATAAGCTAAACGGCTACGTTCTCTTTCTAGAACATGATCACAAATCGTGGTGATTATGGGCTCTAAAATAGTCGATCGCAATGACACATCTTCCAAGTGAACTCGATGTCTTCATCGTATGATCAAGCAACCTGTGCCGCACTTCATGGTAATGCGGTCTTATTACCAATAATAGCACGATAACGATCCGCTCTCAGCTGGTTAACCTAGATACTGTTGTTGTACTTTCCTAACGACCCTATTTTATGCTTCACGTTTATATATTATGTCTAATATAAATCTATATTATGTCTTCTCTACTAAGATCTAATGTGTACTCTAACAATAAGGACTGACAATAATAATAACAGCATGTAAACAAAAGTGTTGTGCTTCGCACAACTGCTAAACATATATAAACAACTATTCTTATATTATTTCATATATCTATTCATGTACACATGTATATATATATATATATACATACATACATATGTGTATTATATATATTTTTGCAGGGTTTATCTAACTATACAAACATATAATAACGATCTGCAATAAATCACTTAACAGTATGGCGTCCTCATAGCGTCGTCCAGCACCACAAACTATTTCTGATACTACGGGGGTTTTGACAACCCCCGTAAATTAAAATAACAATTACACAAAAGACGGAGCTTTTTTAAGGTTTCCACAGGCTAAAGGTTGTAGGCACAATGTGTAAGAATCAAGTCTACAATTCTTCTGCGTGACTATTGGCGCAACGACACATGATGCCAAAAGCATGGGTTGCCGAGTGTTATATGGGCGTTTGTCTTATAGCCATCACTTATTGCCGGCGAATAGCAAAAGTGGCCTATGTCTCGAAGGCTCCATCGGATGGGGTTGTCCACAGTCAAGAGGCGCCGAAGTTTACCTAGACCGGATGCTTTGCTGCTGCCGGTTGCTCGGGCGACCAGAATGACTTGTGTTGTTTGAATTAGTATTGTTGTTGTTTGCCCGCTGGGAGGTATTAGCAGTAACGCTATTGAAGGATAGCGTGCGTGGACGAAAAGCTCGTCGGTAAGAAACTTGTAAGTGGTCCTGCTCGTCGCCATCGGGCACACCAACAATCACAGACTGGTGAAGTTTGTATGCGCTTCGTACACGTCGATCGGAGTTCGGTATCAAAACAAAGAACTCCGAGAAGTCCTTCATCATTGCGTCAACGTCGAAATCAGCGTACATGCAATCACCTGAACACTCAAGCAAGAATGTTATTGAACGCTCGTCCCGAGCACCGTAAACTATACGATTCGTGTCGTTTCGAGGATCGTATACTAAATAAGTGGCATCGGGCTTGCTGTTCATTTGATGGATTAAGTTCCGTACTACGCGGCAGTCGTCCTGCAGATCAAAGAGCGTGTTTTCCGGCGTTGTGGGCGAACAGAGTGGGTAGCGTATTGCGCCTAAATCCAAAAGGTTTCGAAAGGCCGTTACAGGTAGTACGCGATTGTATCTCTCCTGGAATAGCCTGTGCAGATCACCGAACGACAGCTACAGGGAACGAGACAGGAAAGCATATACACACATATAGACGCTCTATTAGGTTATATGCGTTACTCACGTAAATTTATGTTTTGTAGACATTTTAATAATCAAACAAAAACGCTATTTATTACATAAGCGAACTTGTCGTCTTCATCACTGCAGAATCTTCTGCTTGTTCTATTAGTGTAGAAAGCCTCTGTACGAACCCAGGTGAAGCTTCGCATGAAAATGGTGAGCAGATGGCCGATATCTTTGCCAAAATGACTTATTGCAAGGGACAAACAGAACCGCGGCTTAACAGAAATACACCAATTTCCTCCAGAAATAGGCTTAGTGTTGAACAGGGTACATCTCTGGATTGCTTCTTCAATATGTTTCGGGTTAGCATATACCCTCATAGTGGGTTGAGACATATACCTGTAATTGATAATCATGGCGTCCGTAGCGATATATATGTTATGCAGTAATGTGCAACAAAGCCAACTTCGCAGTTTCCCATATGGTAATGTATTCTTCACTAATGTAACCGAGTGGCAGTGTGTATTGGCCGTTGGTTCGGCTCTTACTTACATGCTGATCAGTCGATTATAGTCAACTAGGCCATTGCAGTTACGCATCAGATAGATCAGCCTGCGTTCCATAATCTCACGTCTAGCTTCCGGAGTCAGCTGAATCATCGCGGCTTGTGCTTCTGCATGCGATAGCTTAATTGTATGACTCATTAGCTCAAATGCCTATAAATAGTGAATTCAGTCAAGCCATAGGTAGAAAAGCTGCTTAGAAACGCACCAAAGTTATACTAAATCTGTATACTTCATCTGTAACGATCTTGTACATGCCACGAAACTCTCAGTAGGAAAAAATAGATAAAAACCTTATTGGATTTCCTGTCAAAGAGAAATGAATCAAAAAATAACAGTAGTAATAACAATAGTTTATTAGGAACGTCTCACACATTTATATATGTACCATTAGCGAACTTAATTCGCTAGATAACATCTCCATCAGGTTGCTGATTATCTACGGCAACAAGCGGATTGAATGTCATAGATGAGTAATTAGTTGAGAAAAAAAAAACATTTTTTTGGAACTAAAAATTAACGCTAAGCGATGAAGTTTCCATTTCGTGAAGATGAGAGAACCGTTTATTGACGTTAGATGAAAACAGATTTTTTACAGGGGCAATAGTTTTAAGGATTGAGATGTAGAAGTTTAAGGCTATAGACGAAATAACTTCACCTCAAGAGACTGAAGATCGAATTAATGTGATTACAGAAGCTCTTGGACAAGATAGAGTATAGAGAATATGCTCCCTGTCGGCTCTGTGCAGGATTTTACGATACACAAATTATGCAATTGTAACGAAAACACTGACGAGGAATAAAAAGGCAAACAATAGGTTTCTCACTAACGAGATCTAGGACAAATGGAAACATGTTTAGTGTTTACTAGAGATCATTTGTGCAACTACGACTAACCAAAACCCGCCCGGAGTACACCGTCTTTGTTGGCGAAACATGAGTCTGTCCTTGCCACCGATAAGAGAAGGATTAGGAGGGAGAATGGCGTCGTGCAGGATACCAGGGACCTTTGTTATTACGGGATACTGTGCGAAAAGGAAATGGCCGGTGCTGTCAGACGCCCCGAGATTTCTAAAGAGCCCCATGTATGTATCGTTACTTAGCGACAATGCACGAATTACATTACGATATTAGGTGTAATTCATTCGCAAAGCGCTGGCTTCACGCCTAGGTAATGAAGGGAGCTACACCTGACATACATCAAAACATAACTGATCTATTATACATGATTTAAAAGTGATTATGCTTTTCGATCCACTAAATAGCTTCGGACAACCTAAAAATAAGGATAATAAAATTTATTTTCATAATAATAAAAAATATTTTTTACTCTAATGTTTCCATAGCTAAGTGTAGCCATAAATCTACTGTACACATATATTATCAGACCTACCTCAAATAAAGTTTTGACGCCATAACGGCTGACGGTGGCTTGTGCGTTGTATACGTGATGGAACGTGGGAATAAACTGGTTGAAATGCAGTTTAAAATCACAAGGCACATGATGACGATGCTCGGCATCACTTTCTGGTTTGGTCTTGTCGCCCGGTCGTTTCATACGTGGAGGCTGTTCTAGATTTGCCCTGAGGCACGCGGTATCGAGTCGCTTCAGCCGTTCGTTTTCGTTACCGTACCGAGGCTCCCAATTCTCGCTAATTTCCTTCACTCGAACGGCAGTAGGATCACCACGGTACATATTTAGCAGCTGCGTTGACCCATCAATAAATGAGACAACGAACATTTCATGAGCACAGCGCGACAATACAAAATGGAGGCGTGACGAATAACTTGAATGTTTCTAAAGGCAAGGGCTTGCTATGTTTTTATATTATGAAAAGGCAATCTTGAGGAGTCCCCTGTCCTGAATTTAAAGCGCAGACGATCAGGCGCCAAAACGTCAAGAAAGTCTCTACTGCGAATTTAAGGTGCTTCGCATTCTCTTGGCACCGTTTGCCCTTTACGTACCTGCTGCCGGAATATCGCCAAATTCCTCTGCTGATTATCACTGATCCGCGACCGGGGCGCCCAAGCATACACAGTTGTGTATTCAACTTGCGAGCCGCTGCTCGTCTCTGTTTTCATACTGTCGTCTGAGTTTCCGCTATCACCGAAACCCGCAAAAAAGGACATATTATTTCCGCTTTCAGGATAGCCAGTAGGGAGACGTGTGGGCAATTTAACAAAAGATGGCACATCCTCTTCGCCGTCACCGCGGTTGCGCACGATGAGTCGACCATCGCTGTTAGATATGTAAGTACTGCAATGGATACCCCAGTTTTGAGGTATCGTTACCATGATGTCGTCGAGGAAGCAAACGCCATATCGAGACACACTGAATTTAGCTGATCGGTCACCATTGGGTCGACTAGCCGCATTATCACAGTTTTCCCAAAGGTCCATAAAAGCCGACGGGAGCGTATTGGTGTTCACGAACCTGGGCGTAAGCCGCCGAAGTACCTTTTGCATGTCGTTGCTAATTCGCTTAATTTGGGCTCGATGACTGAGCATTACGAGCTCTGGCTCGCCTAATGTAAGCAGCTTTTCATACATATGAAACAAAAAGTTTAGTAATGACAAGTGACAAATAAGTTTAGTAAGGAACAAGTATTATGCCTCATAGACTTACATATGGGTCGATAAAAACACACCTACGAAAAGGCTTCGGTTTCACATGCATTCTATCATAAGATATACGTATGGGAAATAGATAAACAAAATAATACGCATCTCGTCATCTTATGAACATATCACATTTTAAAAAAGATTGTAGGAAAGCTTATGTAATCGATGCATTGTATATATATATATTATAGATTTTATATATACAGTATAGATGGAACAAGCAAGAAACACAATGTGCCTCTTTTACCTGATGAAACTTGACGTGCTCGGTGATGAAGTCACGCAGCGTAAAATCGGCGTGCAGATCCGTAACCTTTCTGAGCTCTTCATCGAGTTCCGGTATAGTCATGTACTGGTACTGTGCCATCTGCAGTAACAGTGCGACAATTATATATACCAAGGCATCACAACGGTGAATTTATGGGCGTCCATTCCCCAATGAACGTACGATGCCCATATGTCATTACAATGTCTCCCGTCAAAGTTTAGGCTCACAAGTAATGGGCAGGCATATGAAATTGCGACACGTTTCACTGGCTCAAACAGTCGTTGCACTATTACACCGTTTTAATTGTACTAACAATTATCAGGTATGTTTTTTGCGTCTTAGCAATAACTGGTCACTGTAAAACACACTCAGCAACCTCGGATCGGATCCTAACTAGATTCTTCGTTATATAGAAATGCCGAAAAGTAAAGACAGTTCTTTTAGAGCCATCGCCGTGCATCTCGACTTTCGAAAAAAATAATGAGCCGTTGAGCTAAACAATCCGGAGCTGACGATCAGTGAATGTGACGATAAAACAGAACGCTGATATTTGCAAGAACAGCGACGTACCTTGAGAATGGCGGTAATCGTTTGCACTAGCTTCTTGATAGGGTCATCAGTGTTGTTATTGGTGTTCCCATTGCCGCTGTTGTTCCCAGTTTGGGTGTGTCCCATTTTTAATGGAACCGGCGAACCCAGGCTTTCCGTGTCAAGACTGATATTGTTTCTTTCGTTAAGATCCATCTTGCGAATGTACTTATCGCCACTATCATAGAAGACCTGAGTATTCGATAAGTGAATCGAAGGTGCAAAATCGGCATCCTATATTATTATGATATATTTGTTTAATAGATCGAACAGGCAGATGCGTCACCGGAAATACTCCATATATGAAAAACGTCATTTATTGTGTTTAATTTTTTCATTTTTGAAACAGTTAGTTATCAATGTAAATCTAGTACAAGTTGAAAGCGTGTCCTACCCGTTTTTGTTTGCCTCATCTACATAATTAAATCAAACCAAGGGCCTCTACATTAACGGTCTCACCTCAATGCCAGGCACGCAAGTTATCAGATACTCTAACGGTTTAGGTTGTCCATCTTCAGAATAGTAATTCGTTCCTTCTGAGCCAGGCGCAACCGATAATGTGTCGCGTCCATAAGCTTTCTCAAGCTTACCCTGCAGCTTCATGAGGAACTCATGGTCAACAAGGACGCCGTCATGACGCTTACGATCTGGTGGCCAAAGAACTTCGGCATTTGTTATTGAGGTAAAATAAAGAGACATTGCGTCCTGCTGAACTTGGTTCTAATGGTCGATTCAGTAATATACGTTCCTAAAGATACAAGAGATTTATACGTTTTTAGATACATCGAACATTTTTAATGTGAACGTGTCATAGGCGAAAAGCATACCAGGGGTTGAAGGGGGCGACGGATAAATGGTAATCGGACCGGATAGCATCTCGTGAACGACTGGGGCCAACTTCCTAAGACTGTCGTCATGTCACACAAACGAAACGAATTAGCGTAAATTATTTACGGTACAACGTCAACATATCAAAATGGCGTGCGAACATTGCATTATACTTTTTTATGCAGTAATACTGAACTCGAATACGTGGGTTTAGTGAATTGCTCATGAGTACGCATTACCTTTTTTACGAAAACCCTTTTCGAAGCACCGCAAAAACTTGTAGCTAATTTTATAACTTTTCCACCATATTGCTTTTTTTCTAGCACTTTGTGTTATTCGGCTAAGTTAATGTTGTCAAAGCATCAGCCAATTAGTAAATCTGTAGCTTGTATTTTAGATTTCGAAATGTATTTTTGAATTTTCACACATGTGGCCAAGTCGACCCGGACGGCGTTCAGCTTGATCTTAGTGTTAAAGGGTCTCATCTTCTGCAAAGAAACATGTTTAAATGATGGTTTGAGATATGCAGGTTGCACTTTACGGCTCGTAGTGTCCCGTCATTACCTAATCACCACGACGACGTGAGTCGATGAAAGAAGCTTTGCGGTTGCTGAGTCTGCTGCGAGATTGCGTTGGATACCGTAAAAGTCTCCCGTGCTCACCTCCTCAAGGCGCGTTTTGTCCAACGGTAAATCCTTGATTAACGGGATGTGGTATAGCTTGTCAAACAGATCCTGTACAAATAGCAGAAACGCGTTTGTAAACAATTTAAAAACGATGAAACGCTAATTTTTCACAAAATCCATAGTTCGAAAAGCAAGGCTTTGCTTATGCTCCATTATTACAATGAACCTAAAAGCCTTTTTCTTTTAGACAGAATTAAATTCTGTTGTGTTGATCGGTTTACGCTGTAAACGCTTTACAACATGGATACATCGCCCGTACCTAATAGCTGATATGCATGTTCCTTGTATCTATTTATGCATACCTTATACGAAATCTCGTAACGCTTTTCTTGGTCGAGTAGTTTACTTATAATTGACGTCACCTGACGTTTATGTTGCGTCGTCAACCTGACTGCCATGCGAGGCTCGCAACGTACTTCTGGGTACAACGTGTCTGCATATAAGCACAGTCTTGCAATCGCGTCCTCAGGCATATCAAATAAGTAAATCATATCTAGGAACAGTAAGTAAAAAAGAAGTATCAAAGCTTCGATACATGCTCGCACATTTTTGGTACATATTTTTGGTTAGATGAGCTTCGTTTTGTTTGAACTGGTGCGGTGATATAGCTATGCTACTTGCAAAAATCGCTCGCTATACGGGAATATCGTTAACAAAAGCCCCTTGACGCAATAAGGCTAAGGCGGCGAAAAAGACGTTTCAGTTTTACTAATGGCTACTTACCACAGATCTTGCTTTGCATGATAGTAACATGTTGAACATTAATATTTAACTCTATAAGTAGATTTTCTCGCACAAGTCGTTCGCTGTCGCCATGTCCTCCGGCGAATACCTCATTTGGAAGGTTTTTCACTATAACGACGTCCGCCATGTCTTTGAGGTCGAAATCCGACAATGTACACGTTTTGTTCGTTCCGGGATGGTCCAATGATTGAAGCACGCCGTGAACGAAATCAGCGTTACTGATTATACCATGACATCCGCTCGGAATCAATCGGCCAGTATACGACATGCAGTCGGCACTTCCGAGTGACGACGAAGAATTAGTTTTCTGAGCATCAAACCCGTACAGGTCGTCGTCGTCGTCGTCGCCACCATAGTTAAGTATTCTATGGACGCGCTCTCCTTGCCTGTCGACCATGTCTATCAGCCAGCTGTAAAGGCGGCTTCTCTGACAAAATGAGTGTTGTTCATCCTTGTCGCAACCGCGGCTACCGGTTTCCCGATTGTTACTACTGTAGCTAATATTCCCCTCATCCAGCATTTTGGGAGACGTCCTGAGGTTCATCAGGAAGCGTTCATCGCATGTCGTTGCGTGAAGGGCGTTGGAATCGGCCAGTGGTATCATAGCGCAAAGCAAGCAAGCAAGCAACGATCGGCGCATAAACACGTAACGCAAACAAATACCAAGGTCAAATATATCATTTTCTTAACGTTTCAATCAAATCGAGAGAATTAATTTAACTGAAAACCGCTGGCTGTCGAAGCACATCTAAGGATTGTCAAAGGTAGACACTGCAGTAAAAGTATATCGTTGAAAAAACACGATATGAAATAGGAATACGATAGGAAATTATTTTCGCTACCAACGTCCTTAGGTAACAGAAAAGCTACATCCTGAACCAATTGAATAGGCTGTAACAAAGAACAATTAATGAATGTTGTTAATGATCAGCTAAAGGGTTGAGAAATACTCCTTAACGAGGCCATGATGACATCGCGCCTTCGGAGACCCAGAGACACACACACACACACGGACACACACATATATCGCTTTAGCTGATTGGAAACTTGAACGGATTGAGGACAGCATGTACGCTGTTGGCCGGCTAATGCGCGTTGCTCAATTTTAGGCTTTCAGCTTGCGACAATTTTGCCTATTGTCAAGCTCACGACGGAAACTCACGCACATACGGTAGGACTCTGTGAGTTTAAATGGCCAAATTGTTTTGCTCAACATATTGGGAGAGGGCTATAACTTTTTTCTCTACTTCTTCCGATTCGCCCCGTACACGGGACGCAGTTAGTGTCAAGGGGTGTCAAGTTAGGTACGTTTTATAGATTGAGCACATCGTTCCTTGATCGCTCCAGGGTGGTAATGAAGAAGTTGGAAGGGATCGAGAAGAAGGAGAAGGAGGAGGCGCAAGACAATTGGTCACGGACAGAGAACGAAATCAATCTGTGCGGGAACAAGTTGGTAACATGAAAGACCTTCGAGTTGGCTCCGAGTCAGGTAAGCGCCGTGCTAGCATCGCGAAAGTTGAGCCAAACCGTCGTCTGCTTGAGAGATGACTATTTAACATCGGAACGTTCACGCAGATGTTTTGGCGATCGTGCACTGAATGCATGACAATAGTTGGCAGTTTTGTTTCTCGTGCACCATCACACCCACATGTGGCCGACGTCACATAATCTGCCGGTCATTTCTTCTGACACGGCGCCGATAGGCCTAGTAGAAAATATACACGCAACCACCCGTTAATTCAGCCGAACAAATCATAGGAAATACTGGGCCAGTTTGCTAACGAAGTGTTATACATGTTTAGAGTATCGGCTTAAGCGGTGGCTAATAGCGTTTTCTAATTTGTTCCCACAGAGATGGGAAGTACGTTGTCGTGGAGTTCTAGAAAATAAAATTTGAATAAAAAACCTGAATTTTGCACGATACGTTGGTACCAGTCCTTTCGAAAACGGATGTGCAAAAGAGTTGCGGAATAGTTAGTGCAGGTTTCCCGGATACACGATAAATAAGGGAACCCAATTATAACTTGTACAAATGTATGCTAACTGCTGGGAGTACGCGGCGCTATCTGTCCTACCAAGGATATAGCTACGCTTACTTAGGTCTCTATGGAGATATTCACGTAGTTTAATAGCAAGCCTCTACAAAAGAATGATATTGTTTGCTAGGGATACGTACCGCACTATGCGACATGATATCTGAGCTGTGGAATCTCGAGCTTGCCTTATACTATTTTATTGCAGCAAAGACCCCGTCATAGCTAATACGTGGCACCTAAAAAGCCTAAGCCCAAAGTATACAAGGTAAGCCTTAAACTAAACTCTAAAAGAGACGAACCTAGTGATGACAAGCTTAGTCTTCATAAGTATATTTGATTCTTTGTAATCGTCGAGTTATTGTTGTGTTGTAATTTAACTGCATGCTCCTTATACAGTTCGTATCCTCGTGGTCTACCCGGGTTACCGTAGCGTACGTTTGATATCGATGCGCAGTGAGAGAACGAGCAGCCTATGTAAATCTTAGCTTCGCCGTATTTTGGTTGTGACAAGTATCACTGTGAAGTCTAATTTGACGTCTGAATGCTTAACGAACGTGTCTACGTGTGAACAACGACTACTTTCCCTACGTGCTGTACGACAGCTGTCTGGTTCATTTGTATGAACGGCCACACTTCAGTTGTCGAGCGGACGCTTCAAAGAGAGACTCTTTCGTTTTATATGAACCGTCCTAGCTGATAGCAGCAATTCGCCCTGAACGGGATTTCGAAGTTACCCGCTGTTGACTCTACCACACTGTTTATATTCAGGTACTTAAATAAAAGTTATACTTTTGCTTCTTGCCAAATTATTACTTACAGCACGAAACTCTTTTTTTACCTAGTTCGAACGAGCTGGGGCATCGTATTTGACTTCTAACATTCGTGCCTTTGTGATCTCGCATCAATTAAGCCCAAGTGTGGTAAAATCGGCAGATTAGTTAACAGGGTCCAAGTAGGCAACGCTAGCGTATAAGGAAGCTGGAGTACGTATCTTTTTACACATTTATCAGTTCAGACATTTGCATCGACTAACCATACGGAACGCTGAGTCACTCTCAGAAGTACTATTCTATATTTAACGTGGTTGTGTTCCCACTGTACCAAGCCCAGCTCGTTAACTAGGTAAAAATCATATGAAGGATTCTGCGTTCATTAACAATGGACTGCATACATTGGACGCCAATCATCCTATCAAGGTAGAAACCACGCTGCCCTATTAATAGAAATATACGTTCTTTACGTTGCATTTGATTTATTTTACTAAACACACGTAATCTTCGGTACAAAGCAGACGCCAATGGCAACCATTCTTTTCGCGGTAACGGCATGGATGATGTGATCACTGGTTGTGTTCCCGGTTAGCTTCTTTGAACGAGCTGTACGATTTCTCTTCTTTCAATGTTGCTTCGATAACAAACTAAGTTTGTCCTAAAGTTCAGTTTCATGATGCAAAGAAATAGTTGTCAACGGCCTGGCCGCACGAGCATGCCGCTCGATCCTACTGGCAATACGTGCGAGGCATTTAACTTCATCGATATTGACCTCGAGCGTCTGCATGCCAACGCTGAAAGCAACATCACTTCCCCTCCTGCTCTAAAAATCAGGCCATCGGCAAGTTTTATCGGTTGGAGCCGTGGGAACAAATCCAACTTACATTAAGGCTCACCTGGCTTCTTTAACTTGCGCAGATAGTGTATTTGAAATTTTGATATGCGGAACTATTACCATTATATCGACTGTCATTTCAAAAAGTATTCCGCCAGAAACTTAAACAATCAATCAGGGATTCGCTTCATAGCGATAGAATGTATCTTCTGCGGACATGGCGCACCTCAACTAGGATGTACCTCATCAACCACGACGATGTTCTATACAGTGTTGCGACATGCCCAGTAATAAACTTGAGTGCAAATCCCAATAACGTTATGCAGACAGAAGTTCCAGAAATGGGATCCAGCGACAGCGATTGCCGGCTGCGCTGAACGACGTTAGGCTATCAGGGAGAATTAATAAATGAAAGGACAATGTTGTCCTTGGCAAGCTACCTAGTAACTTGACCATATCACTCGTCTACGCAGTGGATTGGCACAACTTTAAAGATATCTAGTCGATCGTTGAAGATACTTGATGCTACAGTGGGACATCAGAGAATGCGCTTTGCACACTCCTTGTACACTCGAGAGCCCCAAACAAAGATTACTCTATCAAACTCGTATAGTTACGTGGTGTTTTTGTGTTTCTGTCCGTAAACGAATCTAAAAAAATCTAATTGTCTGGGCAGTTTTCGTCCAGTACTAGATCTGATTAACGATGTGTCTGCATTCAAGACATCGGATCTATCTCTGATGAACATTCTTAATAGCGTGATTTTACGGCGTTGCTTTAACGGGCGTTTAGTGGTACCGGTCAAGAAAGTTGAACAACTGGAAGAGTCTGTTCTCGAAATCTGCTACAATGTCAATATTTTTCTTCGACAACGGCATCAGGATGTAAAGAAATCATTATAAAATGCGTGAGTTGTTCCCATTTTCCGCTCGTGTCAGCGAACCGATACGGAGTTGGCAAGTTACCTTTCCGTAGTCTTGCACTGACAGGTCACGTCGGCTTGACCACTAACATCATTATTGCTATAGCAGCAAGCCAAACATTTCGCGTTTATGCGACTGTATCCGTTCATAGGCCACGTGCACGTTTAAAAAGAAGAGGGCATAATGGAGGAGATCACCACGCTCCCTAAAGGAATTACAGAAAAGGCGCAGCTGTTTTAGGCTACGGTATCATCGATGGAGTAGCAACATGAGATCGCCGAGTATACCTTCTAGGCCAAGAGAATGTGAATGAAGTGTCACATACGGTAGACAAACTATATTTTTCATTACAAATGTATGTATGGAACAGTATTGTCATTGTTAGTTGCAGATAACAAAGATCTCTCTCATAAGCAGATGTTTGCCGCTATACGAGTATCCTAAATTCTATACCAGTGTTAAAACTGGTCACACGTTCATGCGATTTCGTTTCCGTGTATTTATCCTGCCTATCGACTACAGGCGCTTGAACGAAACGCAGTTCAACGTTTCATGGTATCCGAAAGCTTAGTATTAGCGAGTGGCAAAGTCCGCCTTCTGAAGATCACACACAACTTGATGCTAGGTAGAATCAGCCCTTCATCTTCATCGCTGTAAGCTAACATAAATTTCCTAAACATAGTCCCTACTGAAATAGATTGATTAATCAACATGGAACTTTATGACAATTGGCAAGCACTACAGATTTGATCTGAGCGCAAAAGAAGTGATTCTGTCATCTTACAGATCTTGCAATTGAGCATCATCGTATGTTTCTAGCAAACGGTATTAAATATTTATTCAACTGTATCATATGATAATCGTATATCGGCAGCTGTAATTTTCATCGATGGACCCCATTAGATGCTTCACAGTTGTAGTTTATAAAAAAAAAAAAATAAAATAAAAATCACATCCTAGTGTTGATTGTTAACAATATTTATGATAACAAGCTTTGTTTGCATGCCATAGATTCTTTGCTTCTGCATCGCGGCTTATCAAGCGTTTTTTTTTTTACAGACAGGGCCAAGAAACTAAAGAAAAGGTGTGTCTGTGAAATGGTGTATCTGTTAACATGTTTACCTGTATCCGCCTGTGCTTTGATGCAGCCTCTGATCGTTCATAACCTACTTCGTAAATGTCAGCAAGAACACGATTCTGTGTGCCTACATAATACGTTACCGTATATAAAGCGTACTATAACTCCACCTGTTGGTAAGAAAAGATCTCCTTCCGGAACATTCCAGCAAAACAGATCTATAATAAATAATACACA